ATCAGCGTCGCACTCACAATCAGCATCAGCAACGACAGCAACAGCATCATCATCTGCATCGTCAATCGTCAATCGTCATCACCATCACCATCACCATCAGCATCATCGACATGATCATTGGCATCATCAACGCCACCGTTCTCCCCCCCTCTCCCTCCCCCTCGCCCTCCCACTTCCTCCCCCCCCCTCCTCCTCCCCCATTCCCCTCCTCCTCCCCCATTCCCCTCCTCCTCCCTCTACCTCCTCCGCCTCCGCCTCCTCCTCCGCCTCCTCCTCCTTCTCGTCATTCTCCTTGCCCCCCCTCACCAGCCCTCCCTCCCTCCCCCTCCCTCCTCCTCCCTCCTCCCCCCCTCCCGTCCGATCGACCAGGACGGGATATCATCTTGCGGGCTCCTGGTAACTCCTGAAATCTCCTGGGGCTTACTGAGGTCTCCTGGGGCCTCCTGAAACCTGCTGGGACCTCCTGGGGCCTCCTGGGGTTTCCTGGGGTCTCCTGGGGCTTCCTGGGGCGTCCTGGGGTTTCCTGGGGCCTCCTGGGATCCCTGGGGCCTCCTGGGGCTTCCTGATTCATGTTGGGGCATCCTGGAACCTCCTCAGGAGGGAGACGGGATAATGGCGAGGGCCTTCGATGTCCTCGCCATCGTCGTCGTCGTCGTCGTCGTCGTCGACGTGGTCGTCGTCGTCGACGTCGTGTCGCTCTTGCTCGTTCCGCGGATGGGCGGGCGTCGTCGTCGGCGCCGGGTCGTACACCGTATCGTCAGATTACATCGTCGTCGTCATCGCCTATGCGCGTTTTCGATCGATAAAGCGGCGCTCTGGACGCGGAGATGCATTTACTCGAAGCTGTCGTCGTGCGCCGTCGTCGTTTCGCTGCGCCGGTAGTCGGGCACGGGGGTGGGGTTTGAGGACCGTTGTCGCCGCCGCCGCGGTGCGGTCGTTCCGTGGTTCAAGCAATGAGAAATGTACGTAAACCCATTGTGATTTCCCGTGGGACCGTCCAGAATCGCGCCAACACGCACCAATTGTTAATGATGTTTCTGTTGCGCCGGCGATTATGAAAGCGTTTTCGACACCCCCAGGCCGCCCCGATTATGTAGAAATACTCCGAAGCCTGAGGTTTCAGCATGATTTTGGACGGCCCCACGGGAAAACTCATCGGTTTTTATACATCACGGTCGGAGCTTCGAGGCCTCGACGGCGCATCCCTTTTGTTGTATGTAAATTTGTGTGGCACTATATGCACGACGTATTCGCAATTGTATGTGCATGGGACGTATACTTTGCATATATGTATATATACGACATATATGTACATATATATATTATATACTGGACACACACACTAAATATATACAGATAATTATTAATATATAATATATATATATATATATCAATTTCTTCCCTTCCCATGATATATATTCTACACGAGATATAAATGAGAATATATATATTAGTATATAAATATATTCATCGTATATAAATGTGTATGTGCCACACCTAGACACACGCAGATCGGCATACACGCCCAGAGGCGGACTGGTCCCATCATCATCATATCACCTAGGCAGAATCACATCATCATCAGCACTCTCATCATCATCGTTATCGTTATCATTACCGTCATCAAAACCATCATCATTGCAGACATCGTCATAATCATCGTCATCGTCATAATCACCAGCATCATCACCATCACCATCAGCACCAGCATCGCAATCATGATCACCACCGTCATCATCGTCATCATCATCTTTCTCATCATCACCACCATCAATCATAATATTCGTTCTCTCTCGCCTCATCTCTTTCATTTTCTGGTTTCCGCTTTCCCCTCCTGCTCGTCCTCGTCTGGTCTTCCTCCTCGTCGCCAACCCCCCCATGCTCCTCCTCTTCCAAGTCCCGCGTATCCCTCATACTTCCTCCTCCTCCTTGTCCTCCTTCTCCTCGTGAGTGAGGAGGAGGAAAAGGATAAATGAGTGGGAGAAAAATGACGCCATATTGAAGAAGCGAGGGGATACGGTCCTGCAACCCAGGCGATCAGGAACCCCGGAAGAAAGCAAACCCCGAAACCTTCGAATTCTTACAAATCCGCGTTCAGGACCCCAGGGCCTCCACAACAGGGCCTCCGCAACCCGAAATCCAGGCGACCAGGAATCCCGAAAAACTCTGAACACAAACGTTAGAATTTTTTTTTAAAAAAAATTAAAAATTTAAAGATAAATTTAACAAAGATTAAATGATGTTTTTTTTTTTTTTTTTTTTAAAAAAAAAAAAAAAAAAAAAAAAAAAAAAAAAAAAAAAAAAAAAAAAAAAAAAAAAAAAAAATAAAAAAAAAAAAAAAAAAAAAAAAAACAAAAGGGCTTCTCCACATCTCAAAATCCAGGCGACCAGGAATCCCGAAAACCCTGGACCTCCAAAACTTTAGAATTTTTAAAAATTTTTTAAAAATTTTAAAAATTAAAAAACTTTTAAATTTTTAAAAGTTTTAAAATTTTTGAAAATTTAAAAGATCCCAGGGCCTCCACGACCCGAAATCCAGGCGATCAGGAATCCCGAAAACCCTGGACCTCCAAAACTTTATTTTTATTAATTTTTTTTTTTTTTTTTAAAAAAAAAAAAAAAAAAAAAAAAAAAAAAAAAAAAAAAAAAAAAATCTAAAGAATCCCGGGGCCTCCACAGCCCGAAATCCAGGCGACCAGGAATCCCGAAAACTCTGAGGAGAAGTCTTGGGGCCTCCGCGATTCCATTGAGCCCCTCAGACCCAGGGAAGAGGAATAGGAGGAGGAAGAGGAGGAGGAAGGGGAGGAGGAAGAGAAGGAGGAGGAGGAGGAGGAGGGAGGAGGGCGTCGGCGGCGGCGTCGTCGTCGGCGTCGGCGTCGCCACCGCTATCGTCGATGCCATCGTCGTCGTCATCGCCGCTGCGCGTTTTGATAGATAAAGGGTGCTCTGGACGTCGTGAGAGCAACTCGAGCGTCGTCGTCGCCGTCGTCGTCGCTGCCCTGGAGATGTCGGGCACGGGTTGGGGTGTGAGGCCCGTTGTCGCCGCCGCCGCGGTGCGGTCGTTCCGTGGTTCAAGCAATCAGAAATGTACGTAAACCCATTGTGATTTCCCGTGGGACCGTCCAGAATCGCGCCAACACGCACCAATTGTTAATGATGTTTCTGTTGCGCCGGCGATTATGGAAGCGTTTTCGACACCCCCAGGCCGCCCCGATTATGTAGAAATACTCCGAAACCTGAGGTTTCAGCATGATTTTGGACGGCCCCACGGGAAAACTCATCGGTTTTTATACATCACGGTCGGAGCTTCGAGGCCTCGACGGCGCATCCCTTTGTTGTATGTAAATTTGTGTGGCACTATATGCACGACGTATTCGCAATTGTATGTGCATGGGACGTATACTTTGCATATATGTATATATACGACATATATGTACCTATATATATATGTACACACACATATATATATATATATATATATATACGTACATATATTATAATGTGTATATATATATGATATGATATGATATATATATACATATATATATATATTATAGTATATAATATATCATAGTATATAAATGGATGTGTACACACATATATACACACGATCGTGCATACACGCCCACGCGACTGGTCCTCATCATCATCATCATCACCAGCAGCATCATCATCATCAGCACTCTCATCATCATCGTTAACGTCATCATTACCGTCATCATCAAAACCATCATCATTGCAGACATCGTCATAATCATCGTCATCGTCATCATCACCAGCATCATCACCATCACCATCAGCACCAGCATCGCAATCATGATCACCACCATCATCATCGTCAACATCATCTTTCTCATCATCACCACCATCAATCATAATATTCGTTCTCTCTCGCTTCATCTCTTTCATTTTCTGGTTTCCGCTTTCCCCTCCTGCTCGTCCTCGTCTGGTCTTCCTCCTCGTCGCCAACCCCCCATGCTCCTCCTCTTCCAAGTCCCGCGTATCCCTCATACTTTCTCCTCCTCCTTGTCCTCCTCCTCCTCCTCCTGAGTGAGGAGGAGGAAAAGGATAAATGAGTGGGAGAAGAATGACGCCAGATTGAAGAAGCGAGGGGATAAGGTCCTGCAGCCCAGGCGATCAGGAACCCCGGGAAAAACGGAGCCCCGAAACCTTCGAATTCTTACAAATCCGCGTCCAGGACCCTAGGGCCTCCACAACAGGGCCTCCACAACCCGAAATCCAGGCGACCAGGAATCCCGAAAACTCTGAACCACCAAAACTTTAGAATTTTTACAAATTTTAAAAATTTTGGAAAAAAAAAGTTTTTTAAATTTAAAAAATAAAAAAAAGGGCCTCCACATCTCAAAATCCAGGCGACCAGGAATCCCGAAAACCCTGGACCTCCAAAATTTTAGAATTTTTAAAATTTTCAAAAATTTTGAAAAGTTAAAAACCTTTTAAAATTTTAAAATTTTTAAGAATTTTCAAAAATTTAAAAGGTCCCAGGGCCTCCACAACCCGAAATCCAGGCGATCCGGAATCCCGAAAACCCTGGACCTCCAAAACTTTAGAATTTTTAAAAATTTTTAAAAAATTTTAAACAATTGAAAAACTTTTAAATTTTTGAAATTTTTAAAATTTATCTAAAGAATCCCAGGGCCTCCACAGCCCGAAATCCAGGCGACCAGGAATCCCGAAAACTCTGAGGAGAAGTCTTGGGGGCTCCGCGATTCCATTGAGCCCCTCAGATCCAGGGAAGAGGAATAGGAGGAGGAAGAGGAGGAGGAAGGGGAGGAGGAAGAGAAGGAGGAGGAGGAGGAGGATGGAGGAGGGCCGTTCGAGCCCCCAAGATGATATCCCGTCGTGGTCGTCCGTACCCCTCCCTCCCTCCTCCTGCCCCTCCCCGCCAGGCCCCCCCCCCTCCGCGATTCGAGCGATCCAGGCCGTTCGAGCGCCCGTACCCCCCCTCCCTCCTCCTGCCCCTCCCCGCCCCCCCCCCCCCCCGCGCGACGGCTACGCTACGCCGCAGGCGCCGGCACGGCGCCCCCCTCGGCCGCCCCCGCCCCGCGGGCACCCGCGAGGCCGTCCTCGGCCGCCACCAGGGCCTCTTCCTCGGGCCCACGCCGCGCCCCCTCGGGCTCCGCCGCCTGCTCCATCAAGGGCCGGTCCTCTTTCGCCGTCTGGCGTCCCTCGTCGTCCTCCCCCTCCTCCTCCCCCTCCTCCTCCTCCTCCTCCTCGTCCTGATGCCGCGCCCTCTCCTCTGCCTCTGCTATCGCTGCCTTCCGCCGCGCCACCTCTTCCTCCTCCGCCCCCTGTCGCACAGTCTGCTGATTCTCCTCCTCCGCCTCCTCCTTCGCCGCCTTCTGCCGTGCCTCCTCCTCCGCGTTCGGCCGCGCATCTTCCTCTGCCCTTTGCCGCGCCGCTTCCTCCTCCTCCTTCTCCTCCTTCGTCGCCTTCTGCCGCGCCTCCTCTTCCTCCTCCTCGGCCCTTTGCCGCGCCGCTTCCTTCTTCTCCTCCTTCGCCGCCTTGTGCCGCGCCTCCTCCTCGGCTGCGGCCTTCTGCCGCGCCTCCTCGCCTGCGGACCTCTGCGCCTGCTCATCGAGCTGCTTCGAGGCCTCGCCCTCACCCTCCTTGACCTCAGCTGCCCCGATAGGCAACACGCAGCCCGTAGCGTGTTGACACGGAGCTCAAAACGTATACTGAAAACGCAGGTCTGGCGCGACATCTTCGCCGAAACGTGGACCAACACGTGCTGAACCAATACGCAGCGTGGTGACACGGACGTCTTAATAAACACAATACGTGTTGCCTTCCAACACAGGCGTATCAGGGCAGCTAGGTCCTTGACGGCCTTGAGGCACCCCTCCACCCCTGCAGTGTGCCAAAACGCCGCGTCAGCCTCCAGCTGCGCCCCCAGAAAGAGGTCCCATGTCTTGACTTTTGTTGCAGTACGGGTTCTCCGAAGCCCTGACCATTCCCCCAGGGCTGGCTTCTCATCCCGAGTCGTTGAAGGTCCCCAGGCCCGGCGAGGACCAACGCGGGCTGGAAACGGCGAAAAACAGACACCTTGGACAACTCTGCACACATCTTGGCCCCCATGCCCCGTGCCGCGCCTCTGCCTCGGCCCGCGCGCCCCCGCGCGGCGTGCCCGACGGCGACGGGCTCGCCGGGCTGCGCGTCGCCTCTTAGCATGAAGAAAACGGGTCCTAGGGAAAACCGGTCCCGGAACCCGAGGCCCTCCCCCCAGAAACGGTTCCGGCGACTCCGAAGAGTGCGATTTGCATAAAGGGTGTGATTTTGGCAACCCGCGCCTGGGGGGGCGGGGGAGGGCCTCGACAAAAATCTCCCCCGCGCCAAGAAGAGGACTCGTGAAACCTCCTTGGACGCAACGTGGTGACACCCTAAGCCCCAACGGCGCCGATCGCAACCACACCCACAGTCACCGACAGCTCCTCTCGAAGAATGGTCTCGGGGTCGGGGCCCGCGGAGGGCCCCGGGAAGCCGACAACGGAACGCAGAACATACAAAAAATGGGCCCGCTTCCCTCGGGACCCGCCTGCTCCGCGGCGAGCCTGGAAATCGGCCCCCAGACTCTCGCAGGGGGGAATCCTGGCCAGAATCTCGAGGGGAACCCCGCGGTGGCGACGAGACGCCCCCCCCGAGGCCCCAGAGGTGTAAACGACCGTTGAAAACCTCAATCCTCGGCCATCGACCCCTCGATCTCTTTCATTTGAGCACGGAACGACCGTCCAGGAATCCCACCAGTCCTCTGGGCGTAGGTGGTCTAGGGCGGTTCCTCCTCCAACCCCTTTTCTTCCCCTTCGGGGAGGGTTTTACCCCCTCCCCCACCCCCTCCCCTGGACCTGGATGGAGGGCTCCGAAGGCGGTCAGGACGTCCAAAGCGGTCTCGGCGAGGAAGCCAAAATCATTGGTGTCGCAATGGTTTTGGCTCCATGTTGGCCTCTTGGGGGGGCAGCGCTAATTTGAGTTCCCCTCTTCTTTGATCGATGTCCTCCCAGATGGCCCCAAGAAGCGCCCATGAGCCCCAAGAGGTCCCAAGATGGCCCCAAAATGGCCCCAAGAGGCCCCCAAGAGGCCCCCAGGAGGCCCCCCAAAGGACCCCAAGCGGTCCCAAGAGGCCCCCCCGAGACACCCAAGACGCCCCAGAGCCCCCCAGGAACGCCAAGAGACCCCCAAAACGTCCCAAAAGGCCACCAAGAAGCGCCCAAGAGATATCCCAAGAGACCCCGAGAGGCATTTAGGAGACCTTTGGCCCTTTTGCTTGCCCTCCTCCTCCTGCTCCTCGTTCCTCCTCCTACTCCTCTTCCTCCTCCTCCTCCTCCTCCTCCTCCTCCTCCTCCTCCTCCTCCTCCTCCTCCTCCTCCTCCTCCTCCTGCTCCTGCTCCTGCTCCTCGAGCACCGACTCGCAGCGGCCCTCGTCCCTGGGCCGAGCCGCGCCGCGCCACTACACGGCCCTCCCCGCGCACTGCACAGAGCTCCGCCGCGAGGGCGAGAGCCCCGCCGAGGGAGGAGGACGAGAGGGGGAGGGATGCCCCGCCTGGTCGGTCCGGTTCCCCTCAGACCGAGTGCACGGACACCGCGGCGAGGATCCAGTTCACGGCATACTCAGAGACATCACCAAAACAAAACCAGCAATCAGAAGATAAGTAGATTCCCAAATCACTATACCCACTTCACATTCACTGACATAGCGTATCTCTGCTTACCAGAAGAAAATCCATGCTGTAAGCCGCCGTGTCGCACACAGTAGATAATGAGGCCGAAGGCTCCCATCCCTCAAGAGACGAAAACTGGCTCAACTTCATGCGGCCCCGCAGGGCCTTGGCTGAGACTCTCGCGGCCCTCCGCGGAGGGCTGGGGCGGCTTACCTCCTGCGATGCTTCCTGCGCTGCCCCGTGCCCGCCTCCCCTCCCTCATCTTCGTCAGCTCCACCGTTCTTGAACTCCTGCAACCACTTGAGCAGCGGGCCGTCCAAGGTGCGTTGAGGGGACGCATACAACTGGTCATTACGAATGGCAAACAAATCTTTGAGCTTGGACCTGAACTCGATGTCGCACTGCTCCTGCATCATGAAAGCCCACACCCATGGGCGGCCCTCCTTGTAGGTCGGGTGGCGCGGCCGCGCACGAAAGATAATATTGTCCAGGATCTGAGGGGCGATCGCGGCGTACTTGGCGACCAGGGCCTTGGACTCCGCACTCACCTCGGCGCTGGCGTCCAGTTTCTTCTGCAGCAACTCCATCAAGCACTTGAAGATCACCGAGCGCTGACTTCCACCGAGCTGGTGCGGCCTCATCTCCTTGGGCGCGCCCATGCCCACGTCATCTCCGCCACCTCCCACCTCGTCGCGCCTGGCCTTCTCGTCCGTGCGCCACAGGTCCCGCAGGGTGCTGACCGTCTTCTTTTCCTCTTCGCCCTTGACGATGATCACGAAACTGGCCCGGTCCTCCAAACAGCCCACGCGACGGTCCAGCGAAATCAGAATCGGCGCTATCTTCCGCACCACCGTGTAGGCCGAGGCCTTGCTGGGGTCGTCGCCTCTGCCACGACCGCGAGCCTGCTGCTGCGGAGGGCCACCACCATTGGACGATTCCGCTGCTGCCACCAGAGCTAAGAGCGACATGGGTCGGTGACCCTGGGAGTAGAAAGCCAGTTCGTCTCGGAGAACACACCAGTCTCGATAAGCTCGAGCATGCACAGCTACAGCGGGAGGCCCGAAATTTTGCGGTGGTGCTGGCAACGCTGAAAGTGCTGAGTGAGGTTGTGTTGCTTCTCGAACTTGGTGTTGCAATACTTGCACTGGAATTGCCATGACGCGATGCTTGCCTGGGTATGCTGCTTGTCTCTGCGTGCTGCGCGATGCCGAACCCCCTTCACCCATACCTCGAACGGCGCGTGCGTGCACGTGTAGATATGATCCATCGTGCTCACCAACTGGCCACAGTACTTGCACGAGAACGTCGCCCCCCTGGTGCTCACCTTTTTCCTGACCTTCGTCTTGGCACTTGGCTAACAGCTCGGTCAGGGAGTAGTTGTGGTAGACGTTGAACAAACCACAAGAACTGGCACATCCTTCCCGTAATCCTCGATGCAGGCGGTAGACTGAGGAGGTGCCGTGGCATAACTTGACCTGATACTCCGTCTCGGTGTGTCGGCGGCGAAACACTGCAACAATCGTCGGCGGCAGACCTTCGATCTCGAGGGCTTCCCAGAGAGGTTCTCGGGGAACAGTCGGGCACGCCTTCTTGATATCTGCCAGGTACAGAACTGCCCGCTTCTTTAGAAAAGTGTCGTGCGCCTGTTCCCACTCGTCCCTGTGGTTGTCCCACGTCCCCGCCCTTTCGAACGCTGCCCTGGAACGGTGGAGGTGTAGCTCCCATTCGGCATATAGCTCGCATATCACTCGGGTAATGAAAATAATATCCCTGGTGGAGCGCCCTCTGCGGAAACCCCACTGCTCGTTGACAAACAGTTTCTGGTTCTCGAAATACTGCGTAGCACGAGTGATCGCTATCTTGGCAAGAATTCGTGTCAACATCGTCAGAAGGCAGATCCCGCGATAGTTGTCGAGCGATGTCCGTGATCCCTTCTGCTTCCACAGCATCAATACTATGGCCTGGTGCGCCGCTGGGTTCCAGTGCGGTTGGGCCCCCCTCTTCGGCGCCTCCTCCCACATAGCAACAATTACCTCGAAAACCCGCTGCTGCGTCGTGAGCGGAGCGTTCCTCAGCATGTCGATGGTCACCTCGTCGCCTCCTGGGGCGGAGACCCGCATGCCCTTCATCGCACTGACGAACTCGGCAAACTCGGGCAGCGCGTCGAGGTCCAGGGCGGGCGGCTGCTGAGGCTTGTGGGCTGCAACACGGACTCGGGGGGTAGCCTCGGTCCCGCTGATCGCTTCGAAGTGTCGGCGACAGTCCTCTGGTTTGATGGTTTCGACATCCTGGAAATTCGTATCCTTGAGCGTGACCCCCAACTCCTTCAACAGTCCAAATTGTCGGCCCACCTCGTGATTCTGATAGGCCCATTGTATATCGCTGCAGAGCTCCTTGATGACCTGACCCTTTTTGCGGAACTCGAAACTCCTCTCGGCTTTCTTGACCTGGGCGTGGCGCACCTTTTCCTGGGGAAACTCGGGGGTACCTTTGGCTCGCTGCACCTGACGATAGCTGGCAGCAACTCGCTCGCGACTCTTCATCAGATCGGGGCGACACTTCTCGAGACACGGCAGGTCGCAGCGACGACTCCCTCGCCCCACTACCTCCTCGGCAACGTCGACGAGACTCTTGGCAACTTCGCCCCACTCGGGTGGTACGACTCGGGGGGCACTGGCAAAGTCGGTGTCGATCGTCGTCAACTTCGTCATCCATTTCTGTCGCAGGTCCTGGGCGGTGTCCCCCATCCCCCGAGCACGGTCCCATCGAAGAGGTTTCTTGGGCTGGTCGGTCTGGTGGGCCTGGAGTTGTCGCCGTCCTGGGAGAAGAGCACGACCAAACGGGAGAAACGACAAAAACTTCCCACGGTGGTCGCAGCCTGCAAATTCCATCGTCGTCGCTCGGCGCCATCGTCGACGAGTCCCCCCGAAGGTAGATAGAAACACATCTTGCTCGTACCATCGCTTGGTTACCCCATGAAACCATGTGCCACGCCTCTTGCATGGTATGTACGAATCCACTGCACGAAGACTCTCGCCCTGGGCCCAGTCGACAAGCTGGTACGATAGCTTCGACGTCGGAGTGGTGAGGGTCATGCCGCCAACGAACCCCGAGCTCGCTTCCCCCCGCTGATCTGCGCCCAGATGAGAGTTGGCGTCTCCCCCGATGATCACCTGGCATCCCGAACGGCGCAGATTCTGGAGAAGCAAAGTGCCTTGTTCGAAGTGGGCCTTCCTGAGGTTCTTGGCTGCACTGGTCCCCTGGGTTGGAGCATACTGGGCACATATCACATACTGGGTGCCCTGCAAACGAAAACGCATGCCCAGCCATCTGTCCGAGTCGGGCGGAACGGCCATCACGGATCCATCCTGCTGCCACTTGGTTACTAGATATCTGGATAAAACAATGGCCACCTTGCCGAACACAAACATCGTAAACTCTTCCATTCCACATATAGCTGGGACCCGTTCTCTTCCAAAAATCCACTCCGGTGTGTGCACGTCGGACAGGAACATGATATGAGCACGCTCGGTACGCATGCGGCTGACAATGTGTGCTAACATACTGCGATACATAATCTGGGTCCACGACATCTGTTGCACATTCAACGTCCCAATACGAAGCTCCACGGGCCTCTGGGGGGCATTGCAGGCATGCCATTTTCGTCGGAGACGTAGAGCTCTGCCAGCGCTGCATGAAGAAAGCCACGTATACGATGGCGTTGCGGTTGGCGATGAACGATCGGACGCAGGGACGCCAAACACCTGCGCGCGAAAGGCTCGGGGCCTCTGTAGTTCTGTGAAACCTTTTGTCTCGAGGCCGACCATCATGACGGACTGTCCCAATGGAGATTCCCACTGACCTGCTATCTGGTGATAACAACATCCGCCCGCGGTCCCCTCGATCCCCTGGCGCCGATTGGAGGCAGTCTCATTCTCGAGCCAGGTGCTCCTGCTCCTCCTCCTCCTCCTCCTCCTCCTCCTCCTCCTCCTCCTCCTCCTCCTCCTCCTCCTGCTCCTGCTCCTCCTGCTCCTCCTCTCCTCCTCCTCCTCCTCTCCTCCTCCTTCTCCTCCTCCTCCTCCTCCTCATCCTCCTCCTCCTCCTCCTCCTCCTCCTCCTCCTCCTCATATTCTCCTCCTCTCCTCCTCCTCCTCCTCCTCCTCCAGCATCATCATCATCATCATCATCATCATCATCATCATCATCATCAGCATCATCATCATCATCATCAGCATCATCATCATCATCATCGCATCGTCATCATCATCATCACCATCATCATCATCATCATCATCATCATCAACAGCATCATCATCATCATCATCATCATCATCACCATCATCATCACCATCATCATCATCAGCATCAGCATCAGCATCAGCATCATCACCATCATCATCATCATCATCATCATCACCATCATCATCATCAGAATCGTCAGCATCCTCATCATCAGCATCATCATCCGCATCATCACATTCATCCTCATTCTCACCAGTCCATCTTCCATCCATCCAGCCTTCTCCTCCTCCTCCCTGCTTCGCACGGTTTGGCCGCCCCTCTCTCTGCTCCCGCACTTCCCTGATCACCTCAATTCGCCTGGGCATCGTCTCTGGATGGGCTGGTGGGAATGCTGTTGGTTCGCGGGCGCACGAGGGGTCGGACGCCGAGCAGGCAGGGGCAGGCTGTGCCACCCGCGAAAGCAAAAACAAAGCAAGGAGTTATGCTGTTCCCACCCTACTGAATGACCACATCCCAGAAATAATTTCGAGCACCTGGTGTCAAAACAGTGCCGAAACGGTGTCGAAACAGTGTCGGGCGAGTGTCTCCCAGGGCCCGATACGTGAAAACCCTTGAGTTTCGGTACTTTTTCTGGCGTTCGAAATTCTTTCTGGTGATCAAGGCTAAAATAAGTTGGAGCATCATGAGCAAAGAGCATAACCCGGTGCGGAGCGGAACACTCAGGGCGGCACGCCCAAGCGAGGGGAGCCCAACGGGCGGTAGCGAAGGTGCAGAAGCAGCGCCAGGACCGCGAAGCAGCCGAACATGAAGAGCGGAGCACCGCGGAACCCGCGCGAGGCCGTGCGCCGCCAGAAGGCCGAGCGGGCCCTGCCCCAGGCGAGCGAGCATGCCGACGACGTAGAACACGAGGGAGAGGTGGGAACGAGCGCCACCCTTGCCGAACATGTAGGACTTGAAGGCGTGCCTGCGACGAGAACGACGGGCGAGTAGGAACGCAGCCAAAATTGCGCGAGACATAACCCGAGCGTGTGTGCAGGCTTCTCGGGTAGAGGCCAGTAGTCAGGATGACCATGGCGAGAGGCAACGCACCCCTGGCAACCGCATTGAACAGGGCCGTACGAAGAGTAGAGGCGGGTGCCGCACTTACACGGGAGCGAAGTGGTGACCATACCAAAACTTGCCGTACAGGTCGGACATCAAGCCAAGCGACACGACCAGCAGACCGACCGCCCCGCGCGCATGGACCTGGAGGCTGTGGGATGTCCGCCACGACAGGGTCGTGCAAGGGAGCGTCGCCCGTCAAGTAGCCCGAGGGTGGAGCGGCGGATGGCCATGGCGAGACTACCGACCGCAAGTGCTTTCAAGCTTGTGAATCGCCCTGGCCCACTTGAACACGTTCCACTGGCCGAAATCTTGGATTTTCGAAATGCCGAGGGCCTTGAACGTGGGGTCGTGTTTCTTGCTGAGACCTTCGATCGCAGACGGCGGCGCTTCGAGCAGAAACGACATGGCCCAGCCCTCCCACTCCTTATCGAGAGCCTTGCTGATGTTGATCCTCGGGGCCGTGTGGCTGACGTCGCGGCCCCCGTCTTTTTCCTCGGGAGCCAGGAGGCATATGGACTCGGCCCACTTCGCCTACTTCCAGCGCGCCAGCTGCTCCACCGTCTGAACGCCCAGAGGACTCAGGAGCAATGCCTTCCTCTTGCCGATGCCCCTGAAGCACGTGAGGGGGGCCTTAAGCAGGTCGTGCAAAGGGGTCTCCTCGTACTCGCGCACCATGCACGAGCCGAGGTTGAACGTCGACCGGCTCAATCTCTGTCTGATTCCGCGAAGGTCTGTGACCGGCGTCAGGTGGTGATGTACGTTGTGGACGTGGTACCCGACGATGTACTCAAGAGAGGCACAGTGGGACACGACGACTATTCTCTTCTCCTCGCGTGAAAAGCAATCACGCGCTCTTCCTCCAGCGGTCTGTCGTCCTTCCACCATTCGTCGTCGAGCTCCGCAACTCCGTTCCAGGAGGCCATCCACGGCAGTTCCTCCACCACCTCGCTCTGTTTTCTGCCCTCGTCGCACGTCGCGCCGCTGAGCTTCTCGGAGCACATCGGGGCAACCATCCACTTAAGGTCGCCCCTGCTGCCGCTGATTAAGTAGCCCGTCTGCAGCGCTCGGGTCATCGGCGACGACACCACCACTTCCGCGCCCGCGAACAGCTTTCCGCCCCACTAATCGCAAGCGGACTCGCACTGCGCCAGACCATCCTCGTTCAGGGGTATGTCTGGCGTCCACAGGTTCTCGTCGTACACATTGTGCAGAGCCTGCGCATGCCGCACGAAGCAAATCCACCTGCCGTCGCCGTCGGCCCCGGTCGGCCACGCCTCCGGGGGAGGGTCCTTCCTCTTCCCTGGCCCAGGGGAGGCCGCCACGGCCATGGATTGGCACGCCTTCAGTCCTTGAGGGGGAAGTTCGGGGGCGTGCAAGAGAGGGGCGTCCAAGAGGATTAGCAAAGTGGCCGCGCCCAGACTCCCGGAGAGGCCGCGCCCGCCGGCCAGGCCAGAGGGGCTGGCCCACCGCCTGCGCGCGCGCGCCACGGGAGGCGCGCCGCTTGAGCCAAAATGGCTACGGACTGGTGGGATACGCAAAGCGTCTAGAATTCCTATGGGCCTGCAACGACTTGCTTTTAGAACTAACGAATATTTCAACCACCGAAACAACGTTCTTGAACACATGAAGATAGCATTTCGCGCAAACCACAAAGGGTTCTTAGAAGATCCCTTGTTGGGCCCTTAGGCAAGCCAGGACTCCTCGCCACTGCTGGATTCCTGGCGAGCCTCGTTCTCGCCCTGGGTCGAACAGCGGCGCGGGCTGAGAAGGAAAGGGGGCGGGGGAGGTTTGAGAAACACGGGGAAGAGGGGGACGCGGAGGGAGATGATGATGATGATGATGATGATGATGATGATGATGATGATGATGATGATGATGATGATGATGATGATGATGATGATGATGATGATGATGGTGGTGGTGGTGGTGGTGATGATGGTGGTGGTGGTGGTGGTGGTGGTGGTGATGACGATGATGATGATGATGATGATGATGATGATGATGATGATGATGTTGATGATGATGATGATGATGAGAGGAGGAGGAGGAGGAGGAGGAGGAGGAGGAGGAGGAGGAGGAGGAGGAGGAGGACGAGGACGAGGAGGAGGAGGAGGAGGAGAAGGCGGAGGAGGAAGAACAGGAGGGAAATGACCTCTCCCGTCTCCCGCCCCCAGAAGCTGGGAACGCAGAGCTCCCAAGCCCACGAAGCCGAATCGCACGTGAATGGACGAAGCTCGACCCCCTCGATCTCCTTCCTGGCGAGCCTCGCTCTCGCACCCGTCGCCGCTGGCGGCTGGCGGCGCTGCCGCCCGCTGCCCGTTAGGGTCGAGCGCAACCGGCGCGGGCGCCGCCGGCGACAGCGCGGCCGGCGTGGCGCCCGCGGGCGCGGGCGACGCCGGCGGAGAGCGCGGCCAGCCGACGGCGGCGCTGGCGCCGTCGGCGGCCGCCAGCTCCGCGGGCGCGGCGGCAGGGGCGCCGACGGCCTCTCGAACAGGGGCCGGCCCGGCATTCTTACTTGCTTGCCACGAAGATTGTGAGAGCAACATGTTCGCCAGCGTGGGCCCCAAACAGGCGTGCTCCAGCATACTAGATAAGCAATATGTACGTGGTGCAACCTATGTGGTGCAAACAACTCTGCTGAACTTGAAGCTGTCCTCTCCACTGCTCGCGCAAACATCCCACCCACCCACCCACCCGCAACTTGGCTTGCAAAACCTGTTCAGACCGACTGCGACGACTCCGACGACAACGACTAGGACGATACCGACGACGTCTCCGACGACTTCGACGACGACAACGACGCCGACGCCGACGCCGACGACGACGAAGACGACGACGACGCCAACGAAGGCGACGACGAGGGAGGAGGAAGGACGACGACGGCGACAACGACGACAACGACGACACGACGAGGGACGAGGGAGGGAGGACGGCGACGACGCGAACGACGACGAAGGAGGAAGGACGGCGACGCCGACGACGACAACGACGAGGGAGGAGGGAAGACGACGACGACACGACGACGACGACGACGACGACGGCGACGAAATAGGAGGGACGACGACGAGACGCCGACGACGGACGACGACGACGACGAGGGAGGAGGAGGAAGGACGACCACGGCGACAACGACGACGGAAACGACCACGACGCCAAAGAGGACGACGACGACAACACGAGAAAAGACAGAGGACGACGTAGGCGACGACGACGACGACGCGGGAGGAGGGAGGACGGCGACGACGACGACGACGACGACGACGACGCGCGAGCGCGCGCGCACGCTTTTGTTGAAAATCCGTGTTGCGAAACCTTGGGTTTTTGTAGGTTTTTTGGACGCACGATTTTGAAATCCTTCCGAAACCGATGGGTTTTGAAGGTTTTCGGCATACGCCCGCGACGACGCGCGCGTCTGCACTTCGTCCCCATTTTTTGCAAAGGATTCTCGCGACGGTACACGCGCAAGGGCGTTCGACAGATTTCGACATGCGCGCGCGCGAAGCCCGTTTGGTAGCATGTTGCGAAAATATTGGAAAACATATTGTTTTCTTGGGATTCCGCAAGAGTTCGCGCGTAAGCTGTTTTAGCAAATCAGTGTTGCGAAACCATGTGTTTTTGTATGTTGTTTGGAAGCTCGATTGCGGAATCCTTCCGGCACCGAAGGATTGTGAAGGATTTCGGCATACGCGCGCGACGACGCGCGCGTGTGCACTTCGTCCAATTTTTTGCAAGGGATTCGTGAAAAGTGCTATGTTAGAACAAAAATGTCACCGCATTGTGTTTTTTTTTTCAAAAGGGAACCTCAGGGGGGGAACCCGGTTTGGCTGGGATGATATGATTTCATATTTAGGATGGACGAGTGTGCAGATTATAAATGAAATCATATTATCCCAGGGGGACGCGTTAAGTCCAGGGGGGGTAGAGTCTATTCTCTTTTTGGAAAAGAGAATCTATGTGGTGCCATCTACGTGGTGCAACTCACCGTGCCGAACTTGGAATTACAAATTATACGGATCGCGCAATCATCCCACCAGCGCACCCGCAATTTCATTTACAAAACCCATGCGGCGGCGAATGCGATGACTGCTTGGCGTTGGCTGGCGCATCGCTGCGGCCACGTTGGCGGGCGCAGGCTCGCGCGCAGCGCGGCCAGCTAGTCTGGCGCGACCGACGCAGCCGACGAGCGCGAGTGGCCCGCATGGTTTGATTTGACAAGACCGTGCCCCTCCCCCAGCGCGCAAGGGCGTCGAACTTATTGCAACATGCGCGCGCGGGAGCCAAGATTGGTAGCATGTGATGAACGTGGTGATGAACCCTGTGGTTTAACCGCAAGAACGCACGTGGAAACCGTGTTCGACTAAACACGTTCCAAAACTATGTTCGGGTGGTTCGATTTCAAAATTCCTACGGCGTACGTGTGCGACGATGCGCGCGTGTGCACTTCCTTCGGATATTCCGCACGGAATTTTTGCAAACTGATGACCATTGATAAACGAGCGCGCGCGAATAGTAGTACTTGACGAAAATGAGGGGAGCGAATGCTGGCATGGCTGGGATGGTATGAACTCATCTCTAGAATAAACGATGGGGCAACACCATATGTAACCTGCAGGACTCGAGGGTGAGCGGATAACCCCTTGGGGCGGGGGGGTAGATCCGAAGCCTTTTCTAGGACGGAGAACCTACGTGGTGCAAATCGATTTAAAGAACGGAGAGTTGACAACCCCACTTCTCGCGCAGTGATCTCAACCTCCCACCAGAAACATGGTTTGCAAAACCAATGCGGCGGCGATTGCGATGACCTATTGGCGTTGGCTGGCGCCCCTCTGCGGCCGCGCTAGCGCGCGCAAGCTCCCGCGCAGAGCGCCCAGCTAGATTGGCACAGCCGACGCAGCCGCGGTGGCGCTGACCGATGGGAACTTCCAGGCCGCGGTGGCGCGCGAGCACTTCAGTGCTGGTCGGCGACTCGGGCGGGCGCGGTACCATGGTGACGTGGACAACGGCGGGAACTTTGATGATGGTAGCAATGATGATAACGATGACGACGATGACAACGGAAAGGTCAATGACGTCGCCGACGCTGGTCACGCCGAAGACAATGATGATGATGGTGATTATGATGATGACGATGTCCATGTGTCGTTAGCAATGGTTTCGAAAAGCATTTGGACAAGCCGCGCGCAGCCGTCGCGCGCGCGTGGCCTGGGGCCCACAAGGTATCATGTGACAGGGGTCGTGCCTCCCCCCCCAGCAAAAGCGCAAGGACGTTCGAATGATTTTGACATGCGCGCGAGAGAGGCTCGCGTGGCCTCATTTAGGGAGCATGTTGAAACACCGATGGCTTTCAGACGAATTCGCAAAAACGTGCGCGCAGATCTGTTTGAACACATTGATTAAAACCAATTGTTCTTTCATAGGTGCCCAACATCCTCGATCCTGAAATCCCTACGGAGCCTAGGGCTTTCAATGGGTTCCGACATGCATGCGCGACGACGCGCGCGTGGACTTTGTCTCATTGATTGCAAGGACGATAAGGGTACTTCCTGATATGGTAATAACCCATACGCAAAGCGAACGGTGAAGCAAAATCATATGTAATTTGCCCTGTCCTAAGAGAACCCGGTAAGTCTTGGGGGACGGGTAGAGTCGATTATCCAGCCTATGCGGTGCAAGCTACGTGGAACAATACCTGTAGTGCGCTCTGTGTGGTGCATCGTAGAGCTACGCAGAGCAATGCAACGCAATGCGATTGCAATGAGATGCAATCCGATTACAATGCAATGCGGTTGCAATGCAACGGGTGGGGGTGCAACAGGGCGGCGGCGACGGGCGGCGACAGAGGCGGCGATGATGCGGCGACGGGCGGTGACGCGGCGGTGACGGGGCGGCCAGACGGACAACCAGGCCCAGGCGACGGGCGGCGAGGAGGCGGAGACGAGGCGGCGACGGTCGGCGACGGTGCGACCAGACCGACAACCAGGTCCAGGCGACGGGCGGCGACGAGGCGGAGACAGGCGGCTACATGCTGGCCAGACCGACAGCCAGGCCCAGTCCCTTGGAACACGAACCCCTAAGCGCAAGCACTGTTCTAAGATCCAGAACAACATTCTGAGAACATGAAACTGATGGTTTAAAACAAGACTGCCTCAGCCGGGAATGCTGTAATAACATGTTTCGTGCAAGCCACACAAGGTTATCAGAATACTCTTTGGCGGGCGTATAGGCGGGTCAGGGCGCTTCGCCAATGCGTGAGGCTTCGGGCCGCGCTCTCAGAGGGCGGGCCCTGAGGCGCGGGGCCCTGCTGGGGTCGGCGCGGGGGGTGCTGAGGGGACGGGGGGCTGCCTGTGGATGCCAAGGTGGGCTATATCTGGCTCGCCTATAGACGGGTCACGAGTGCCCCGAGCGGCTCCGGGGGGTAGACAACTCCGATAAGTGAGCGGGGCCCATTGAGCCCGTATCAGTAGCACCCCTAAGCCGCCTGGGACACCTGTAACCTACTTATGAAATAGGTTAGGTCAGATATAACCCACCTTGGCATCCACGGATAACCCCCCCAGCAACCCCCGCGCCGATCCCAGTGCAGAGGGGCGCGGAGGCCCTGGAACGGTGTAGGGTCGACCGAGGCCCCCGAGCCGATCTTTGGGGCCCCGTGCCTCCAGACCCCATTTTCAGAAGATGGGGGAGCAGAGACAACACTTCAATGACACGCCTCCGTGGGGAAGCCATCATCGCGCTGCTGTTGAAGAAGGCACAGTGCCCTCGGACCCAAAACGAAGGAGCAACACGCTGACGGGCTCCTCATGGCGGCGTGTCAATGGTGCCCCCCCAGACTCAGTACAGGATCCCCGGAGCTCCGACCCGTTCCCCAGGACCGGTTCTGCCCCCTGCGTCGTTTTTACTGGCCCAGCGAGGGCCCCCAGGGGCCGAAAACGAAGGAAACTCTTGGCCTCGATTTTTTTCGCTACGTTGGAGGCCGAGGCCTGGGACCACCTTGGAATACCCGACGGCCGCGGGGGCGCTCGCCGTGGCGGCCCCCGGCGCGGCGGCCGCAGGCGGCGCGGGCCCTGGCGCGGCCGCCTCGAAGCGCGCGGCGCCGAAGCCGGCGCGCCCCAGCCGGGAGCCCCGCGAGGGCCCGTCCTGGTAGCATCTGGTTGATCACTCGGTCGACCACACCACCCCGTCAGATGCTCTGACGGCAGCCCCGATCACGATGGCCACCTCGCCGATCACGACGCGTTCCAGCGCGGACGATCGCGTGGTCAGGCCAAACCGATCACTCGAGCGGCGATCGCAGTGATCCCCCGATCACTGCGATCTGTGATCGCCGACCGCGTGAACAGCAGACTCCGAGGGCCCGTCCCCGAAGCCGAGGCCCGCCGCGCCCGGCGGCGGCGGCACCGCGCCGATCGCCTGCTGCGCCGGCGCCGAGGCCGCGCCGCCGCCGCCCGCGGCCTGCTCCGCGCCGCGCAGGGGCTGCTTCTCCGCCGCTGAGGCCTCGTCCTGGCGCTGCGGGGTGGATCTCTCAAGCACTCCGCCGCCTCGAGAGGTGCGTGCTCAGAGCAAGAACGCAGCAGAGCCACAGGCAAACGTGGCACGGACAGTGTAGCTCCGCGCACGTGTCAAACGCTCCAGCAAGCGGGAACAGAGAAGCCCCAGGACAGCGAGGCATCGACGGTGCAGCTCAGCATCAATAAAGTGGCTGTGGAGCTTCACAGGGGGGCGATTTTGCCTTGATGCGGGCCCTGGGATCTGCACGGCTCGATCCAGCTCGGACAGTGCCGCAGGAGGATGGGGTCCAGGGCACCAGAAATCGGATGTCTCGATGTTTTCCACGCGGGGTCCCCATGAGGTCTCGACCCGTTCCCCGGCACCAGTTTTTCGTGCTGGATATACTCAGGGTCCCAGGGCCCAGCGATGGCCCCCAGAGACCGAAAGCGGCAACAGAACCCTCCGATCGAAATATTTCAGGACGCGAGGGGGTCAGGGATCCAGGGTTCCAGTCGATATGTTTCACGATCCATCGACCCCTAACCCAACAAACATGGCTGCCCATGTTGGACATGAACTGACAACTCTCTGTCGCTGTATGGTCTATATGAACCACGTCTGCATCGCAGAGCGGAGGGGGGGGGCTGTGAAGGGGCCTGCCCCGATTTGTGGCCGCCGCGATCGCCGCGGCGACCTCCCAAACCCACCCGGACGACTGCTTCGGGGTGGGACATCACGCAGCGAGCGATGCTGCAGCTGTTCGCCGAGGCCGCGTCCTGGCCCGAGCAGAGCCGCGTGCAGGTGGCGCCCATGGGCGGGGGCCCCGCGGGCCGGGCGCGGAGAGCCGGGCGCCGCGTTCGGGTCCGGGAGGGCGGGCCGAGCCAGGCTGCGGGCAGGCAGGCAGGCGCACACGGCCCCAGGCCACCAAGCCTGGAGGCCACCGAGCACGAGCACGAGGCCACCGAGCACGAGCGCCTGGGCATGATCGCGTCTTGCCGAAATCACGGCGGATTGTTCCCAACCATCCTGTGGTGTTGGGTCCTCGCTTTCAAGAGACAGCGCCCCCCATCACTCACTCACTCCTTCCTCCTCCCCCTCCTCCCTACTCCCATCCCTGCCTCTGCTCTCCGCACCAATCAACGATTTCAGCACACCCTCACTCGCTTCGCGCCCCCGTAGGGAGCTCCACCGAAAGCCCCAGTGGCTGTGTACGCATGCGTCCCGCGCCACTCAGTACGGCGTTTCGTGCCGCCTGAGGGAGCTCCACCGGAGGCCCCAGTGGTTGTGTACGCGTGCGCTCCGCGCCGCCCAGTACGGCGTTTCGTGCCCCCACAGGGAGCCCCATCGAAGGCCCCAGTGGCGGTGTTCACATGCGTCTCCCCCACCCAAAACAGCGTTCGTGGCCCCATAAGCAGCTCCACCGAAGACGATACTCACGTATGCGGTACTCACAGCTGCATATGGTTGAGTCCTTCGCCATGCAAATTGTCCTGCAATGTTCGGCCTCTTTGGGCCCTTACCAGGCTCAAGAACCGTTAAAAAACGGCACGGGATGAAGAACCGGTCCTGGGGAACGGGTCGGGCCTTCGGGGACCCAGTATTGAAAATATCCAGACATCGCATGTCTGAGCGGCGAAGATATCCGGATCCGCCCCCTCGCGGCCTGGATGCTGGAGCGCGATCCTGCGCATGCGCGGTCGCACGGGTGCGTTCCGCGCCGGGCATCCACGAACAAAACGCCCCGTCTCCGCGGGGTCGCGGCCACGGGGCCCGGCCCGCGAGGCCGCGGATACGGATATGCGTTCCGCCCTAGGGAGCCAGTCTGCGGACAGGCACGCGCGCACACCCCCAGAGCTCCAACGCGTTGAAAACTTAGCGCGGGGGGGGGTCCTCGTTTGTGGGACCCCGCATGGAAAGATCAAGACATCGGCTCTCTGGATCGCAGCTTCTCCTTCCTTCCTTCGCTTTGTTGCAGCAGCGATCGGCCAGGCGCAACCAAGCGTCCACACGCACACACACACAGACTTTTTGGCGGTAGCGGCCTCGCGCGCACCGAAGAGGCGGATAAAGTGCACCAGTCCGAGCAGCGTGCGCGGCGGCCAGGCACTCAACATCACGTTGGATGTAAACCTAAGGGCATCGGCCATCAGGGCATAGATGGCAGGAAAGGGCACACGCAGGACCATGGGAGAGAGTCACCACGGTCGCACGGGACTTGAAGAACACCTTAAGACACACACACACACACACACACACCTGCACATACACAAACACACGCACACACACACACACACACACACACACTTTTCCTCCAGCGGCGGAATGGCCACACCGTCGCGAGCGCTAAGTCGGGATACGGAGCACCCTTAGACACGCACACGAACACACACACACACACATCCATATTTACATAGATTCACAATTACCTATACGACTACCCTTCGGGTGATAAGGAGGTTGTGTGGGGGGGGGAGAGAGGGGGAACCAACATCTGACTCAATCGATATCACTATCGATCTCACTTAACAGAACACCACGGGACACCACGGGACACCACGGGACACCACGGGACACCACGGGACACCACGGGACACTTGTCGATCTCACTATCGATCTCACTATCGATCTCACTCGACGGGACATCACGGGACACTACGGGACACCACGTGACACCGCGGAACACCTCTCGATCTCATTATTGGTCTCACTATCGATCTCACTATCGGTCTCACTCAACGGGACACCATAGGACACCATAGGACACCACGGGACACCACGGGACACCTCGGGACACCACATCGATCTCACTATCAATCTCACGATCGATCTCACACAACGGGACACCACGGGACATCACGGGACACCACAGAACACCTGTCCATCTCAGTATCGATCTTACTATCGATCTCACATTTTGGGACACCAGGGACACCACGGGACACCTCGGGCACCACATCGATCTCTGTATCGGCCTCACTATCGATCTCACTATCGATTTCACTCAACGGGACACCACGGGACACCACGGGACACCACGGGACACCTGTCGATCTCACTATCGATCTCACTATCGATCTCACGTTTTGGGACACCACTGGACACCACGGGACACCTCGGGGCATCACATCGATCTCAGTATCGATCTCACGATCGATCTCACTATCGATCTCACTATCGATCTCACTCAACGGGACACCACGGGACACCACGGGACACCACGGGACACCGGCGGGACACCGCGCGGCACCGGCCGCCGGAGGATAAACATTTGGTCTGGCCGCGGCCCAGCCACAGGAGAATTTCGGGACACCAGCGGGACACCGCGCGGCACCGGCCGCCGGAGGAGTTACATTTGGTCTGGCTGCGGCCCAGCCTCAGGAGGATTTTTTCTCTCGCCCGCCCACGCAGCTTCGCCTCGCCCGCACGCACGCACGGCACGCACGACACGAACCCGAAACCGAAATCGATTTCCCAGTAGGGGGGGTCTCCGTTTCAAGTCGGACTCACTCCCCAACCTCCGATACACACACACACACACTTTCACCTTTTCGGCGGTAGCGGCCTCGCACGCAGCGACGAGGCGGAGAAAATGCACCAGTCAGAACAGAGCGCGCGACGGCCAGGCCCCCAACAGCGCTCAAGATGCGAACCTACCGGCATCGGTCATAAGGGCATAGATGGCAGGGAGGGCACACGCGAGCCCATGAGAGAAGCTCACCACGGCTGCATGAGAAGTGGGGAACGCCAGAAGCCGTCAGGGCGTGGACAGCGCGAAGAAAACTGCACAAGCGTGAGGCTGCCCGCACGGCGACACGAAGAAATCCTGAAGGTCCTCGAACTCGCCCCTTAGGGTCCTCGAGCTCACCCTGACGTCGGTACAAGGGCGACGGGCCGGCCGACCGTGGGGCCCACACGCAAGCTGCTGCGCGCGGCCGCCGCATGAGAGAAGGCTGTGGGGCAGAGAGCGTGGCCAGTGGACGAAACGCGCGGCCACGCCTTCGGCCAGCGCGAGCCACGTGAACAACGATCAAAAACGGCTCTTACGCGAGACGGCACAACGACTTTACGCAACGGTCTTCGCAGGCCGCCAGCGCGGTACGCTACGCTGGAAGCGAGGGCGCTTACGCGCAACCTTACGCGCCAATGTCAGCACAATCAAACCCGTTTCTTCGCGTCGCTCATGTGGCGGCCCAGAAGTCCGCGCGGGCCGTTGTTCATACCAGTTCTGCGCTGGAAGATGGGGGAGGACCCTCGAAATTCCTGTCAGAACGCCCTCCAAGAAGTCTGCTGCCCGATTTCCAGGCTCGTCATGGAGCAAGCGGGTCCTGAGGTAAACGGGTCCTGAATGTTTTTGCCGTTTGGGGCTTCCTTGAGTTTTCCACGGGTGGGTCCCACTGTGCCTTCCACGTCTCAGCGTGAAGAGCTGATGACAGGCAGAGGCCCCAGGATCCAGGACATGTTCGGCTCAGGACCCGTTTCCTTCTTGCCAGTTCCTCCTCCTCCTCCGCCTGCTTCTTCTCGTCTCCTCTTCGAACTTCGAGGGTCGAAGTTTCTGGGCGTCTTTCGACCCCCGGGCCTCTGGAGATCTTGTCGTCGGCGCGGCTTGATTTGCCTCGAAACTCTGGTCAGAACTTCTCTCCTCCCCCTTCCCTCCCAAACGTAGCGGTGGCAACGAGAAGCCCCCCCGAGGCCCAAAAGAGATGGTTAACCTCGAACCTCGATCCTCGATCCCCCTTGATCCCTCCCTGGCGACAGGAGGAGGCAGGAGGATGGCAGGAGCCAGAAGCTGGGGGGGAAGAGACCTGGCGTCCAGCAGCTGCGCCAGCTCCGCAGTGCCTGCGGCGCCGGGCGCAGCGACGACCGCCTGGAGCAGCGCGGCAGCAAACCTGCCGGGAGCTCTTCCCTTCCCCCAGGCGACGACGACGACGACGACGACGACGACGACGACGACGACGACGACGACGAATGCGGCGGCGGCAACCGACAACGGCGACGGCGACGGCGGCGGCGGCGACGGCGACGGCGACGGCGGCGACGGCGGCGACGACGACGACGACCACGACGACAACGACGACGACAACGACGACGACGACGACGACGACGACGACGACGACGACGACGACCACGACCACGACGACGGCGGCGGCGGCGGCGGGCGAACGAACGGGGGGGATGATAGCAAAAGGGTGGGTAACAGCTGCATGCAGCTGGTTCTACCGACGCCGTCCAGCGGCGCGGGGGCGGCCACGTGCGGAGGCAGAAAAGGAGGAGGAGAAGGAGGAAGAAGAGGAGGAGGAGGGAGAGGGAGAGGAGGGGGGGAGGATGAGGAGGAGGTGGAGGAGGTGGAGGAGGAGGAGGAGGAAGAGGAGGAAGAGGAGGAGGAGGAGGAGGAGGAGGAGGAGGACGAAGGCGGAAGAGAGGGAGGAGCATGAGGGACGTCCAAAGGGGGGGGATCACAGAGCATGGCCCGAGGCACGTGCGCGGACGAGGGGGGCGGGGGCCAAGGGACGTATCGAAATAAGAAGAGGGGCGCTAAAACATCCGGGGAGATCTCGTGGCCCCGGCCATGATATCCCCCCTGGGCACATCACCCCCCCCCCCTTGACCGCCCCGACACGAGGGACCCACGGAGTGAGGGAGAGCCGACCTGCCGGGGATCTGCGCCGGCGGTGGACGGCGGTGGCGAGCGCGAATCGGGGTGGACGAGATGGGTGGATAGCAAAGGGGGGGGCAGCAAATCAGCTACGGCGGCTGGCTTTTCGGGCGCCTCCCAGCGCCGAGGCGATCCAGCATCGAGGAAGAGCGCCCAGCGGCGGGGCCGAGCCGAGCAGAGTTCGCACCCCCCTCCCAACTTTCCCAACCAACCCCCCCTTGCGTCCGCTCCGAGACACCGACGACGACGACGCCGACGACGCTGACGATGGCGGCAACGGCGAAGGCGACGACGACGACGACGACGACGTGGCCCCCCTGGGCATACGGAGACCCAAAGAGGGCTAGAACTGTCCCCTCAGCATTCCAGGGTCGAGGGCAAGACCCGGCACGCAACGAAGAAGGCAGGGGAGGCGGCGGCGGCGACGAGCCGGCTGCACGCAGGAGTGAAACCTTTTGGTGCGCGGCCTCGGGGGGGGGGAGCCACATCCACGCGCCCAAGCCGGTGCCAGGGGACCCCCCCCGTAGATCCACTGTTCTGATGTGTCCAACGCGTGGCCCCGAAGCCCCGACCCTCTCCCCGGGGCTGGCTTTCCATCCCGAGTCGTTCTTTGACGGTCCTGTGGCCCAGCGAGGGCCTCCAGAGGCCGAAAACCGCCAAAAAGAAACAAGCCGATCTTTGCGACACCTTGGGAGGTCTTGAGATGAGGGGGAACGTTAGGGGGGGACTGGCTCGGGAGGGAGGGGGGGGGGGCATCGAGCCCGAGTCGGCGAATGGCTCTCCATAGCGAACCCGCACGCTCCTGGGCGGGGTGGGGGAATAGGGCCCCTATCGGCGATCAATTGGCTCCTGGGGGGAAAGGGGCCACTGCGTCCCCCCTGCCCCCATGAGCCTGTCACCCCCGAGCGTCGCCTCTGACTGAGCCCCCGGATGCAGACCTTTTCGCAAGGCCGTCCACGGCGACGGCAAGACCGAAAACTGGCCGAACCGACCGCGAAACCGACACCGACCAACATCGGCAGGCCGCAGGCATCCCAGGGAGGGCGCGGCGACGCGGCAAGCGACACGACATCCGACAAGAGAGCGAACCGACCGGACGCCACCGACTGCCACACGGCCGAACCGACCGAACCGCGAACAGCCTCGTTTCGTTTGTTCCACACAACGCAACGAAACCCGAACCCCAGGGGTCGTGGTGCATACTAGAAAGCCCAGTCAGCCGGACGAGAAACACTGAGCACCACGCGTGTACAGCAGCAGCAAGAGCAGGGAGAGAGAACAGGGCCCCCAGACGTCATGGTTTTTCATGACGTCGACCCCCAGAGGTCTCGACCCATTCCTCGGGACCGATGTTTCACTCTGAATCGTTGTTTGACGGTCCCGAGGCCTTGCAAGGGCCCCCAGAGGTTGAAAATAGCAATCAACCCTCCGATGCGGTTTCGTCATGACTCGAGGGGTTATAGCTTCGATGCCTTGGGGGTCTGAGCCTGCGGGCCCGTACCAAGAGACCACCCTGGCGCAGGGCCACTCTCTCGGCTACACGCAGGAGTGGCCCTAGGCAAAGTCACCTTTTGCTGTGCAGCCATGGGGGGCAGGGCGCGGGAGGGCCAAACCCGAGCGCGCGAGCCGCTGCTACCGCATCCTGTTCAGCCATCTGGGGACCCCAATGTGCCTGCACCACAGGTCACTCCAGGCAAAGGTCGCTCTTACGCGTGTCCAACTCTCGCGCGCATGGCCGCCGCGAGGGCGCCTCGCCGTCACGCGCCCCGGCTCTGGCGCGTGCGGCGGGGCACCTGGGGCGCCCAGCTGCGCGCAGAGGCTCCTCGCGTGGTCCTCTCGGGTGCGCTGGGGAGGGGGGCCCCAAGCGGGATCGGCGCGGAGTCTCCTCCTCCTCCTCCTCCTCCGAGGACAGCGCAACCCACCCCCACCCCGAGCCAGGACCCCCACTCCCGACCTGATGATCCAGGGGGTCACAGCTGGGGGTGAGGGTGGCTTTTGCACTAAAAACAGCTCCCGCATCCATTCAGGACCCCCTGGATCACCAGGTCGGGAGACGGGGCTCCCTGGAGTTTCTGGCTCGGCTCGGGGTCGGCCCGAAGCGGCCCGAATCTCCCACGGCGCGAAAGCACAGGCCGTCGCGATCCCTTTTGGCCCGTAGAATCCCGTAGAATCCTCCTCCTCCTCCTCCTCCTCCTCCTCCTCCTCCTCCTCCTCCTCCTCCTCCACCCTCCTCCTCCTCCTCCTCCTCCTCCTCCTCCTCCTCCTCCTCCTCCTCCTCCTCCTCCTCCTCCTCCTCCACCCTCCTCCTCCTCCTCCTCCTCCTCCTCCTCCTCCTCCTCCTCCTCCCTCCTCCTCCTCCTCCTCCTCCTCCTCCTCCTCCTCCTCCTCCTCCTCCCCCTCCTCCTCCTCCTCCTCCTCCTCCTCCTCCTCCTCCTCCTCCTCCTCCTCCTCCTCCTCCTCCTCCTCCTCCTCCTCCTCCTCCTCCTCCTCCTCCTCTCGCATCATCATCAGCATCACCAGCATCATCATCATCATCATCATCATCATCATCATCATCATCATCATCATCATCATCATCATCATCATCATCATCATCATCATCATCATCATCATCATCATCATCTCATCATCATCATCATCATCATCATCATCATCATCATCAGCATCATCATCAGCGTCAGCAACAGCCTCATCATCATCAACATCATCATCAACATCATCATCATCATCATCATCATCATCATCATCATCATCATCATCATCATCATAATCAGCATAATCATCATAATCATCATCAGCATCATCAGCACCATCATCATATTCATCATCATCAATGTCAACATCATCGTCATCATCATCAGCATCATCCTCATCAGCAGCAGCACCATCATCAACATCAACATCAACATCAGCATCATCATCCTCATCATCATCATCAGCAGCATCATCATCAAAATCAGCATCGTCATCAGCATCAGCATCAGCATCAGTATCAGCATCCACATCATCATCATCATCATCATCATACTCACCCATCCTAATCCCCATCCTCGTCCGCATCCTCATCATCATCCACATCCTCATCCTCATCCTCATCATCATCATGATCATCATCATCGGGATCATCGGGATCATCGGGATCATCATCATCCTCAGCATCAGCATCAGCATCGGCATCATCTTCCGCATCCTCATCATCCAGTGCTTCCTCCTCATCATCCTCTTCTTCCCTATCGTCATTATCACAATTATTATCATTGGCATCATCATCAGTACCAGCATCAGCATCATCGTCATCATCAGCATCATCATTACCGTCATCATCAGCAGCAGCAGCAGCATCACTATCATCATAATCACCATCGTACTCGTGATCAGCATCATCATCATCAGCATCATCACCATCTTCGTCAACAGCAGCAGGTTATTCTCAGCTTCATGTACATCATCATCATGGTCATCTTCATTATCACATTCCTCCTAGTCCTAATCCTCGTTCTCATCACCTGCATCAGCATCAGCAGCAGCATTGGGAGCAGCCGCAGCAGCCATCATCACCATCATCAGCATCAGCATCAAAATCACCGTCATCATCAGCATGATAATCCTCATCTTCATCATCATCCTCGTGATCAGCATCTGCCTCAGCATCATCATCATCGTCATCATCATCAACAGCATCATCAGGATCAGCAGCATCACCAGCAACATCATCATAATCAGCCGTAGCATCAGCATCGTCTTCACCATCGTACGCATCATTACCAGCATCATCATTATCAGCATCATCACCATCACTAGCGTCGACGTCATCATCCTCATCAGGATCAGCATCATCATCATCAAAATCATCAACATCATCATCAGCAGCACCATCAGCATCGCCATATTCATCACCATCATCCACAATATCAGCATCGTCGTCATCGTTACCGTCAGCCTCATCATCATCATCATCATCATCATCATCATCATCATCATCATCAGCAACAGCCTCATCATCATCATCATCACCACCACCATCTTTACCATCATCATCAGCAGCAGCAGGACAGGAAGCACCATCCTCATTAGCAGCATCACCGCCATCCGAAAAAGCATCATAATCAGCTTCATCAGAACTAGCATCACCCTCATCATCATCAACGCCATCATCAGCATGAACAGACTCCGCATCATCAGCATCGTCATCATCAGCATCATCACCATCGTCAGCATCATCATCACCATCATCATCTATCATCTCCATCATCATCTTCATCATCATCGGATCCATCCTCGTTATCATAGTCCTGAGCCTCACGTTCATCAGTACCATCAGCATCACCATCAGCATCAGCATCAGCATCAGCATCAGCATCATCAGCATCACCATCACCACCATCGTCGACAGCATCAGTATCATCACCAGCAGCATGATCATCATGATCAGTATCATCACCACCACCACCATCATCACCATCATCATCATCAGCATCATCATCATCGTCACTATCGTCAACATCATCATCCTCGTCATCATCATCATCATCATCATCATCATCATCATCATCATCCTCATCCTCATCCTCATCCTCATCCTCATCATCATCACCATCATCATCATTATCCTCGTCATCGGCATCGTCATCGTCATCAGCAGCATCGTCATCACCATCAACAGCATCATCAGCCTACTCATCATAATCATCGTCATCGTCATGGCCATCATCATCAGCAGCATAATCGTCATCAACATCGTCGGCAGCGTCATCCTCATCACCATGACCATGACCACCATCATCATCATCAGCAGCATCATCATCACCATCACCATGGTCCTCATCATCATCGTCGTCAGCGTCGTCGTCAGCGGCGTCGTCCTAATTGCCACCATCAGAATCGTGATCCTCATCATCGTCGTCACCACCACCATCAGCAGTAGCACCATCATCATCATCATCATCATCATCATCATCAGCAGCAGCAGCAGCAGCAGCAGCAGCATCATGATCATCATCATCAGCAGCATCAGCATCATCAACATGGTCACCACCATCATCCTCAAAATCAATCTCCTGCACTGCGCCGTGACCTTGCACGCGTCCGCCGCCCTGGCAGCGCGAAGGCGGCCTGGAGCGGCCGTCGCAGGCTTGTTTCCCCCCCGGTCTGGGTCAGGGGCTGCGGCTCGCAGGCCGGAGGCGAGGGGCCAAGAGTGCTTCCTGCAGGAGTTGGCATCGGGCGTCGTTCATCTTGCGGGTCAGATGGGGGGCTACTAAGGGGATAGGGGGGCAATCAGTGGGCGCCAAGGTGGGATATATCTGGCCTGGCCTAACCCAAACACCCGAAGCCACTCGGAGCACTTATGACCCATTTTTAAGCTAGCTGAGGCAAGACATTACCCACTGTGGCACCCACAAATAACCCCCCCTATTCCCTTAGCAACCCCCGCGCCGATCCAAGCAGACCCCCTCGCGTCGTGGAAAAATCGCGGTGGAAGGTGTGTGGCTATTTTCGGCATCTTGGGGCCCTCGCCAGGCCTCTGCCTCCTGCTTCCCCCTCACCCGCCTCCTGCCTTCCTCCTCTCCCGCCTCCTCCTGCTGCTCCACCTCCTGCTATTCAAAATGCCCTGGATTTCATGAACAGAGCACTCACCGCTCAAAGAACTCGACCAGCAAAACAAAACAAATGATCCTGGTGCGACCCCAATGAGGGGAAAACCTCCTATGCTGCACTGCTTGACGTTGCTTGATATTGTTTTGTATTGCGTCGCATCGGTTTGCATTGTTTTGTGTTGCTTAGCACTGCTTGAGATTACTTGGCATTGCTTGGCAGCGAGTTGCTTTGGTTGGCGTTGGCTGGCATTGTCTGGCAGAATCGTTGCTTGGCGTTGCTTGGCATTTCTTGGCAATGGTTTTTCATTGATGTAGTTGCTGTGCATTCCATTGCAACCATTGCTTTGCATTTCTTGGCGTTGCTTGGCATCGCTTGGCATTGCCTGGCGCTGCTTGGCGTTGATGCAGTTTGCATTGCTTGGCATTCCTTGGCAATGCTGGGCAGTGATTAGCATTGCTTGGCATTGCAACGACCGCGAAACCCAAGGAACAAGACCCGAGAGCCCGAAAAGCAAGATGGGGGAACCCGAAAACAGAAGGCAAATAACGATACCAGAGAACAGAGGAAGGACCAGGGAACCCAAGAAACGAGAACGGGGAACCCGAAAAACGCCTAAAGGAAACCAAACTCAGGGAGCCGAGCATTGCCGGAGCACGCCTCTGAATTGGGGGGTGACACCAACCGGTTCTTCACAAAGCAGGTAAGAAATCCTCAGCCAAAGCCTAATTTTGGAAGGCATGGTCGGAGCACAGTAAGCTGAAGGCCCAGGCTAGCAGCAGCGCCAACGCAAACGTGAAGAAAGATACGACGAGTGGGGTTGGCGGAGGTTCTCGAGTGCGCTGATTGCGCCCAGGTGGCGGCAAGGCTGGCCCTCCTCCTGCCTGTGCTGCTCCACCCCCTACCCTTCCTCCTCCCACTCCTCGGGCTGCTCTCGCCGAGCTGAACACAAAGACTGAGGCGGGTCGCTAGCCCGCAGTGCGGGAGAGAGCCAGAGCCAGAGAGAACATCGCTCTGATCCCTCTCGCCCAGTGTGGTGCGGTGACCTTTTCCTCTTCAGCTCCCCCTGCTGACAACCGCACCTGCAGGGTTGGCCCTTTTCATTTGTTCGTGCACTTCAGCTCGGGCTTCGGCTTCAGCTGCGGGTGCACTGCGAAGCGCTTTTTTCTGGCCAGCTCATCCGAGTCAGCTTTCCGCTCACGCTGGGCCCCCCCCCTCCAACCCGACGCCTCCCAGATGCGGTCGGAGCACATGAGGTCGGAGGATCTCACCGCATCGCCGATGCATTGACGATGCATCGTCGACGCATTGGCGATGCACCGGCGACGTCGGCGATGCAGCCGTGACGTCCGCGTGAAGAAGGTCCGGCTCCACATTGAGCCGCACCGCCGATGCATCGGCGATGGGGCGCGATCCTCCGACCCTCATCTGCTTCGGCCCCATCCGGGAGACCCGGATGTCTTCCCCATGGGATGGACACGACGCTCGCACATCCCTGGTGCAGTTGACACAACGGCAGCCCTGCAGACAGCTTGAGCAGCAGGAAAGCGTAGCGCCCTTAGCGACGGGCGAGCCCCCCTTAGCAGCCACTCGGCATCGAAGATCAAGGATCGGAGATCGAGGACTGTAGCAGTTTTTCGAGAGTCGAAGGTCGAGAATCGAGGATCGAAGATCGAGGATCGCGGATCGAAAATCGAGATTAAAGCCCTGGGAGGCCTCTCTTGCGCCTCTGGGAGCCTGTGGATGCCACTAGAAACCCCCATTGATTTCCGGGAGCCTCCAGGAGGACCTCCTGACGACCTCCAGACAACCTCTGGAGGCGAGGACGCGAGGATCAACGATCGGCTATCTCTCTTGACGTCTCTTTCGGCCCCGCAGGCGGCCAGGCGGCCCGCAAGGATCCGACATGTCCCCACGAGTTCTCAGAAAGCCCCATTACTTGAATCGCTCCGCCGACTTAGAAGAGTTATCTCATCACCCTAAACCACTTCGGGCGACTGTAAGCCACATATGAGCTAGCTCAGGCCAGATACACAGTCACTGAAACCCCGCTACGTATACCCGTAACAACCCCCCCATTGATCCAAGTACCTTCCCCCCCCCCGGGTACGTCCAAATAGGCCCCAAAGGACAAGGCCGCGTCTACCCACCGCCCCTGGACATCCAGAGCCCGCCAAGCCTGGCCCGCCGCCCCCCTCACCCCTCTTCTTCCTGCGAGGAGCTGGAGGATGAGGACAGCGCGATGGCAAAAGCTGCGCCATGTGCCTGGCCAAGCTAAAGCGTGCCCAACGTGGGGTGAGCTCGTGGGCAGAAGCTCCTCTCACCTCGACAAATTGGGAAAGGCGAGCGCGACGCTGAGAGAAATTGAAACAACACCCTCCGTCTTCCCTTCACTGGCAGTTCCAAGGGGGGTCACCACCAGGGGGATCGTCACTTCTTCGAAGAGAAGCCACTCCAGAGAGCCCACCGACGACCCCAAACGTCTCAAAAAACCTCCTTGACCTTCGATCCTGGAGCCTCGATCCTCAGGGAGAACTGGCGACACCCCCAGCAGTGACCCCGACGTTCTTCCTGTGAGTCTCCTCCTCCTCCTCCTCCTCCTCCTCCTCCTCCTCCTCCTCGCAGCTCCTGCAGCGGCGCGCGCAGGCAGACGGCCGCGAGGGAGGCCAGGCGGCCACACACGTCGGCACGCTCCTCCGGGGGGGGGGGGGATGGCTGAGAGCAAGGGGGGATATCGGCAAGAAAGGCAGGGCGCAGGGAAGGCAGGCACGAGCTGGATCGAATCGCGGAATCGGACCCGATCGGAAAAGGATCGGATCGCCCGCGAGTCGTCCCGAACTGGATCGAAGTCGGATTGCCGCGCCCGGCTCCGGCGGGCCCTGACCGATGCCGGTGAATCGAGCCGAATCGAATCGAATCGCATCGAATTCGACGGGGGCCTGGAGGCGCTACATTCGACGTAGCAGAACCCCTTATCACACAACTCCAGGAGGTCGCGTTCCAAGACGGGCATCAATTCGTTGCACCCTGGAGAGATTTGCCTCCACTGCTGCGGCGGATGGCCCTCCATTGTAATTGGGGTGCTTGCCCTGGCGGATACGCGCTAGGTTCTGGTGATCCTTCTTGGCTGGCTTGCGCACCCCAGTGAGCTGGCACGGGTCGCAGGGTAGAAGAGAAGAAGCAGGAGAGAGAGAGAGAGAGAGACAGACAGACAGACAGACAGACAGACAGACAGACAGACAGACAGACAGACAGACAGACAGACAGACAGACAGACAGACAGACAGAAAGACAGACAGACAAACAGACAGACAGGACAAACAGGCAGACAGACAGGACAAACAGGCAGACAGACAGGACAGACAGGCAGACGGACAGACAGACCGACAGGCAGACAGACAGACAGAGAGCGAAGAGAGGTATTTCGAGAGATGGGGGAAACGAGAGAGAGAGAGAGAACGACAAAAGAACGAGAAAGAGAGAGTAGACTGAGAAGAGAGAAAAACACAGTGATAGAGAGAGAGAAGAAAAAAAAGAGAGGGGGAGAGAAAGAGAGAAATACATATATCTTTAAATGGAACTATATTCATACGGGATAAACAAAGATAGAGATAAAGAAAGAGAGAAAGAGAGAAAGAGAGAGAGAGAGAAGACAAACAAAAGCGTGTACGGTGGAGGAGTGGGGTCTGCCAGAGGAGGAGGGCGAGGGCGAGGGAGTAGAACGCGGGACGGGGGCTGGTAAAGCCACGGGCGGAGGGCAGGGCGGCGCCGCACGAGAAAGTTCAAAATAAAAAGTGGGAAGGATCGCCACCGAGAGCAAAGCCCAACGGACACCGAGGACGGCGGAAGGCTGGCTTGTGGACTTTCTCCATGAGGACGCCATGCTACTGCAAAGTGAGGCTGGAAGGAAAAGTCGTCTGGAAGGCACGTCCAACGAGGCGCACTGCCAAAACGACCGGGATTTGCTACGAATCGCCCGACAGAGAATTCTACAAGGGGCTGGGTTGCCAGGGCCAGTTCATGACCGACCAGGCTGGATATTTCCCATGATCGGCAACGGGGTGGAAACCGCTGCAGGCGCCAGAAAACGAACAAGTCAGATCATTGTTGTTTTGGACGCTGCGGCGATTACCGACTCTGGCACGCGCAGCCGCAGCGTAATTACTACAGCGTTCTTGCCGCGGACGCAGCCGGATCTGACACCAAATTACCGACGCGACAGCTCCGAAACATCGCCATCACCAAGAATCTGGAAGCACACATGGCTGAACTAACATACGGAGCATGCACAAACCACCGGCTGAACACGCGAGCTCCGAACTGGCATGCACAGGTATACGAAGGCCGATCGCTCAAACATATTATTTGCGTCGGCGGTTGGGCACGGTAACTGCGCTGGCGGAGGACTACCTAAACGGGGGTACCGTTGTTGCGAAGTGTGCCACCATGGAGGAAGGAGGGGAAAAGGCAGAGAAGGCGGCCGAAAGAGGGGGCAGAAGGAGCGAGCCGCTCAGGGGGACGGGTCACGCCCCTAGCGCGTGGTGCGGCCGGCCCCGCCGCCCGCTGCGGCTGCTGCACCAGGGAGCCAGCGGCGGCGGGGCGCAGTGCGGGGGCAGGCACCATCCCGGGCGGCACGGGTGCGAAGCGGTCAGTCATCCCCAGGGCGGGGGCGGGCGTAGGTTGCTAGCAAAAGGCTGGGGCGCCGGCGGCGGGCGACAAGACCAGCCCGGAGGGGCGGCGCGAGCGGCGGCCGCGAGCAGTCGGGCAGCGCCATGGCGGCGCGCGGAGGGAGGGAGAGCGAAAGGGGGGGAAAAAGCGAACAGGGCGGAGGACGCCCCGCCTGTGGGGCCCACGGGGGGGGCGGCAGGGCGGCAGCGCTGGCGAAGTGCACCGCCCAGCGCAAAAGGCAGCGCGAGAGCGGAGCCCTGCCGGCGCCAAGCTTGGGCAGCGAGCGGGCTGGAGACGCAGGCGCCGGTCGGGGGCGCCGGTCGGCAGCAGCGCCGTGGGCGCCGCCCCGCGGGGCGGGGGGATGGGCAGCGAGGCCCAGCGATGGCTCAGGCGGCCTGGAGGGGGGGGCAGGCAAAGCCTGAGGTAGGGACCAGCAGGGACCTGGGAGACGGGGCGGCGATTGCGAGGTGGCACCGAACAGGTGCGGGCGAACGAGAGAAGTGGCAGGGCCCCCCTGCCGGGGTGGACAGGGTGGGCCCGCGGGGGAAAAAAGGGGGGGGGGGGGGGGGGAACCGCCGCTGGAAAGCTGGCAGGAAGCCCCCCGCGAAAAGAACTGTGGTACGCACCGAACTGGCGCAAGTCGGCAAAAGACGAGAGGAAGGGGAGGCCGCCCCCCGGTCGGGGCCCCCCGGTCGGGGTGGACCGGGTGGGCGCGACGTGGAGGAGGGCAGGGTCCGAATGGACAGCAGCGGGCGCGCCTGGGAGGCAAAACTGTGGCAGGGTCCCGAGCATGCGGCCCGCCAGGGCGGCAAGCGCAGCCGAGACCAAGGGCAGCGCGGTACCAGGGGGGGCGTGCGGCAGGCGCAGATGCAGGCTCAGAAGAGGACCCAGGAGCAGGGGTGGTCGTGCTTTTTCTGTTCAACGAGCGGCCACGCACGCGTGGTCAGGCCTGCGCCCTCTGGGACTGGGAGCGAGGCGCCGCTCCGCCGCTCCGCCGCGCCGCGGGATCAGACTGGACCACCCGCGGGGGGGGGAGATCTGCTCTTATGGACTGCGACCGGGCCCCTCCAGGGGCGCTCGGCGCTCGGCGCCCCGACGCCCGGGTCGGAGGCGGCAGGCGTGCACACGCGCGCGGCGGGCTCCAGGCTTGGCGCGGCCGAGCGCGAGCGCGAGGCCGTCCCGCTCCCACCCCCCCCATGCCCCCCCCCACCCCACCCGCCTCCTCCTCCTCCGCTGACTGCGGAACTGGGGGTCCGCCCTCTGCGGGGGCCCTGCTCCCAGAGCCCGGGGGGGGGGGCCCGGCTCACTGCGCGGTCACCTCGCAGATGTGCTCGATGATCGAGCGCTGCGAGGGGTAGTCGAACATGAGGGACGCCGGCAGGTTCATGCCCAGGTGCTGGTTCAAGGAATTCCTGAAGGCCACGCTGGAGAGGCTGTCCATGCCGGCCTCCATGAGCGGGACGTCTAGCGACACCTCCTCGTCGCTGGCCAGAGACCCCAGAGTCTCCCGCATGACGATGTCATGCACGTGGGCCGGGTCCATGCCCTTCTTCTCCTCCTTTGGCGCCTCCAGCGCGGGCGTGTCCGCTGCCTCCTCGGCGTCGGGGTCGGCCTGGTGTGCCTCCGCCCCGCCCGGCACGCCCTGGACCCTTTGGATGATCTCGAGAGCGCGAGCTTCAATGTTCGTGTCCTGGATGGTCTGGGCCAGCGCCAGCGCCTTCTCCGCCACGTCCACTGCCTTCGCCTTGTTGCCCGACGCCAGGTGCACCTCGGCCACCAGGCCGATGGCGTCCGCCTCCGCCCGCGTGGCCTGGATGGCACGGAAGAGGTCCACCGCCTGGTCGGCCGCTTTCAGCGCATCCTCGAAACCTCCCAGCGCCACCTGCGTCTGCCCAACGCAGTAGGTCGCGACCCCCATCAAGAACCTGTCCTCCACCTTCCTCGCTGTGGACAAGGCCTCCTTGGCCGACTTCACCGCCCTGGTGGCGTGCCGCCTGAGCGTCCTGGCCTGGTCCTGCCCCGCGAACACCTCCAGGCTTGCGGCCGCGAGCGTCATCTGCGCGGCGAAGACGTTGGCAACCACCTGCCCCCTCCTGTCTTCGGCCCGCTTGGCCAGCTCCGCGGCGCCCTGGGCGGCCGCGATGGCCTCCGCGGGCTTCTCCATCTCCAAGTGCGCCGTCGCCATGGTCTGCAGGGCACCCGCCTCGGAGGCCCTGTCGCCCAGCTGCTGGAACAGCTCCTGGGCCTGCAGCGCCGCGGTGAGCGCCACGCTGGGCTGCCTCTCCTTGGAGCCCTCGCCGCCCGCGAGGCACACCTCCGCGATCATCACGAGCGCGGCGGCCTCGCCCGCCGCGTCCCCGGCCTCCAGGAAGAGCCCCTGCGCCTCCCGAGCGGCCGAGAGCGCCTTGTCCAGGCTCTCCGCGGAGAGCGGCACTGCCTTGCTCCACGTCTCAGAGACCTTGAGGCAGGCGATGCCCTCGCGCACCCTGTCGGCCATGCCCTGGCACACCGCGCGCTGCTCCTCGCGCAGCTGGACGGACTCCTCCAGCTCCCCGGCCAGCTCCCGCATGGCAGCCAGGGTGTCCAGCACCGTGACCAGCTCGCTGTCGTCGCCGGTATCCTTCAGGAGGGCCTTGGCCTCCTCGAACACGTCCACCGCCCTGCTGGTGTCCTCGGCGCGCACGTGCAGCTGGAGGATGGTGTGGAGCACCTGCGACTCCCACGCCTTGTCGTCCAACTCGCGCGCGAGTGACAGGCTCGACTCGGCCACCATCAGGGCCGCCGCCATGTCGCCCTCCTCATAGACGTCGCTTCCGACGTACGCGAGGATCAGCCCGTTACCGACCAGCACCTGGCCGCGCTTGTCCCCGTCCTTCTGGCACCTCGCCAAGCCCTCCTTGGCAACCTCCACGGCCTTCAGGGATTCCCCAAGCTGCGTGTAGATGTCCGCGAGCATGGCCAAAGCCGCCTGCTGGAAGCCCCTGCCGTAGCCGAGGTCCTCGAAGAGCTGCAGCGCCTCCTTGGCGGCGGGCAGCGCCTCCTTGAACTTCTCGCTGACCAGGCAGATTTCTGCGAGCAGCAGCTGGGCGGCGGCCTCCATCTTCTTCGGCCCCACCTCCCTGAACATCCTGACCGCGGCCTGGGCCTCCCGCACCGCCTCGGGGGCGCAGTTGCAGAGCTGCCTCGCCTCCGCGAGGAGGCCGTGGGCCCTCGCCTCCAGGCCGGGCTCCCCCAGAGCCCGGAAGGTCTGAAGGGCCTCGCTCGCCAGCGCGAGCGCCCTGCTGCTCTCCAGCCTGTCCACGGCGATCCGGAAGAGCGCAACAATCGCGAAGCCCTCGAGCTTGGCCGCGTCGGCCTGATGGAAGATCTCGCGGGCCTGCGTGGCGGCCTGCGCCGCCTCCTCCCGCCGCCTGTAGTCCTTCGGGAGCAGGTAGATCACCTCGGACAGCGACAGGAGCATCGCGCCGACGCACACCCTCTCCCCCGCCTCCTCGAATCCCGCGAGCCTCGCCCTGCAGAACTCCTCGGCCGCACGCAGGTCCTCCTCCGCCTTGGCCACGTCCGCCCCCCAGAAGCTCGCGTCCGCCCTGGCCTTGTACGCGTGAACCATCAGGCGGCAGCTGTCCGCGACCCCGACGGCGTCCCCCGCGGCCTTGAAGAGCTCGAGGGCCTGCTCGGCACCCTTCAGGGCCTCGCCGTAGTCCTCCTTCTCCGTCAGCTGCCCCTCGGCCACGGAAAAGAGCATGGCGGCCTCCCTCTTCTTCTCCGCCGCGGCGGCGTCGTCGGCCAGCGAGGTGTACCTCTCCCCGAGGCCGTCCGTGGCGAGACGCGCCGAGAACGTCCTGCTCGCCGCCTGCTTCCGCGCGGCGGCCCTGCAGCCGGAGGCCGCGCCTCCGACGGCCGCGCCGCGGCCCTCCCCGCCGAGCAGGGCGGCGCCCCACGGGGATGCCATCGCGCGTGCGGCTCGGGGCCTGCTGCTTCAGCACCGGCCTTCGCAAGAGCCCTCGGGGGCGAAGCGGCGTGAGCCAAAATGGCTGCGGAGATCGCTCAAAAGCGCGCGGCCACGCGAGTGTACCCCGGCTCTCACCCAGGCTGACTGCGTCGTGCGTCTCCAGCTCCCTGGTACACTCCCAGCGATGCTGCTCGCGCAGGTCTTCCGCCTGCTTCCTTGCCAACTGCTCTCATGTGTCGCCGCCTCCGCGATCCGCCGGCCTGCACCAGGAAGCGAGGAGCACGGAGAGAGGGGGAGTAGGGGGGCGAAGGGTCGGGGGCCCCAAAACCGCGCAGTCACCCCGAATCCCCCCCGACTCACCACACAGTGTGGTCCTAATCGTCTGGCTTTCGGGTCATAACTCGGCTCTCTGGCGGCCGCCCGAGACGATTCATATCCCCAGAAAGCCCTGGGCGAGGCGCAGGTGACGGGAACCACCCCAGGTTCTCCAAAAGCACGTGCTAAAACCCCCCTGAGCCCAGCCCCAGAGACCCACCACGCGGTGAGTTCCCCATACCGTTTGAGGGCCCCCGACTGCTCGGGTGTTGCTAGAAGTGCCCCTGGCCCAAGGTGCCCCCAGGAATTCCGAGGCCAGGCCATTGTGGAGTATGCGTTCTTCCACACGAACCTTGGGCGCTTTCACGCCTCATATTCCTTCTCCTCATCGATGTCCTCCTCCACGACGGCTATTCGACAGAAAGAACATGACCCCGCGAGCATACCCATGGAGTTCCAGCACATTGCCAACAGGCGTGGGGCTGGGGTCTCGAGGACAATGCTCGGGGGAGCGGCCCCTCTTCCTCTCTCACTTTGCGCTCGCAGCTCGCAGCACAGGGAATCCCCGCAGAAGGGTCCCTGTAGCAAGGATTCCTCACGACTACTTCCTTTCGCAAGGATTCCTGAACAATGATGTTTGCAATAAGGGATCCTGAGCAAGGAATCCTTGAGGAGGGCCTGGCTGCTCACCAACATAACCCATCACACAGAAGTGGGAAGTGGCAGGAGGAAATGGAAGTTCTCTCTTGTTTCTCTGTGAATTGTTTGGTGTCTCTCTTTTGTTTTCTCTCTCTCTCTCTCTCTCTATATATGTATCTATATGTGGCCCCTCCACGTCTCACATTCACGCAAGGCCCAGCAAATGAAACACCATTAGGACGCCATGCGAACGCCTCTACTGAGACCGCTGCTGGAGATTCTTAGAAAAAAACTGCTTGTAATAAGGACTCTGGGTAGGCATTCCTGAGTAACGACTTGTGTACCTCACGCTCATGAGTAAGGATGTCTGTATGCAGGAACCCTGAGGAAGGATCCCTTTAGTGAGAAATCGTTAGTGAGGGCGCCTTTGGTGAGCATGTGTTAGTCAGCTTTCTTCTGTCGAAGATACCGCAATAAGGCTCCCTTTGGTGCGGAATCGTTTCTTGTGATTTCAATGCTGGCCCCCCAAAGAGAATCCCTCGAGCAAGGGTTCATTGCTCAGCTTGCTTTTCTTACCAGGGCTGGCTACTAAGGATGCCTT